AGACACGGCATGCGTGTGCTTCCGCAGCCACCTCAAGCCTTTGAGACTCTCAGTTTCATTGAAGCTCCCTGCGTTGCAGCCATGACGACCGAGCCAACGATTGCTGCCAAGTGCACGGCAGAGTTCGTGGGCACCTTCCTCTTGATCTTCACGGTGGGCTGCAACGTGTTGGGTGGATCGGCGACCTGGGCCGGTGTGTCCATCGCCTTTGTCCTGATGGTGTGCATCTATGCACTGGGCGGCATATCGGGGGCGAATTTCAACCCGGCCGTGTCCGTGACGCTGGGCATCTCCCGTGCCATGGGAGGTCCAGGTCTGGATTGGAAGACGGTTGGCATCTACGCCGGCGTGCAAACTGCTGCCGGCATTTCGGCCGCCATCTGCTATTCCTTGCTCTTCGGCCAGAGCTTTAACCTGGCTCCTGCCAAAGGCTTCTCGTGGTACCATGCGGGGCTCTGCGAACTCCTCTACACCTTCATGCTGACCTTCGTTGTCATGAATGTGGCGGCTGCCAAGAAGAACGTCGCGGAGAAGAACCAGTACTACGGCATGGCCATCGCCTTCACCGTGGTTGCAGGTGCCTATGGTGCCGGTGCTGTCTCCGGCGGCTGCTTCAACCCGGCCGTGGCTTTGGGCATCGACGTGTCCAGCGCGGGCAGCGGCTTCGGTTGGTCCATTGCCTACGTCGTCTTCGAGCTTCTGGGTGCTGCCATGGCCGCCGCTCTCTTCAAGGTGGTTCGCCCTGAAGATTTTGGAGGAGAGAAGAGCCAGGCGACCGAGCTGGTGAGCGAGTTCCTGGGAACCTACATGTTGGTCCTCACCGTCGGCCTCAACGTCCTTGGCAGCTCTAAGGCTGCAGCCTTCTCCATTGCTGCGGGCCTCACCTCGATGATCTACGCCCTGGGCGACGTCTCCGGTGCTCACTTCAACCCGGCCGTCACCGTTGCCATTCTCGCCTCCGGCCGCTGCCCTGAGCTCACGCCAGCCAAGGCCGGTACCTATGCGGGC